TCAGAATAGCGCACTCACAGTGAACACAATGTAAATAGTTCCAGAATACACTTCAGAATAGCGCACTCACAGTGAACACAATGAACAAAAGTACAGCCAGTTGGCAGCCACAGAGAGCTTTCCAGTTTGCATTTTAGATAAGAACACTTGTACTTGGAACAATAATGTGGAGATAATCTAATTGTTGTTCAGGATCCACCATGAAGCTGAAAGAAGAAAAAAAATTAAGTAAGTCCAAACTGTAAAGAGATCATTCCCTTCATCCTCAGTCTGCATAATTGCTTTTCTAGTTTTCAATCCTAGACTCTGGGATATTGACTTATTCCTGTGTAATTATACTGTAGGTTTTTGTACCTTGTCGCTGAAGACTTTCTGAGTAACACTTGTCATAGAAAGGTTACCAACACCCTGATGAGCTGTGTTGCACATCATTTCGTGTTAACTGTATTAACACTAGCAGCTGTTAGTACATAAGGTACTCCTACATACATGCTTCAGTCAGTTTCAGTTTGAATAGATGTAATATAAATAATGTTTTTAATGTGTTTATATTCCAGCACTAATGTGTTCCCCAATGAATATAAACCCCTAAACACAACCTATGGCACAGAACCTACGACTGCTGACGCAGCCTGGTAAAGGCAGATGGACGGGGTAGGCTCCGTTTAAAGCTATTGTCTCGTTTGCCCTCAGACCTTACTTTCTTGTGCTGTCTTCTTTTTGTGGTAAGGATACTCTGGCTCCTGAGCTGAGTACCCAGCTCCTGGTGTCTGCATGGTTTATGATGGTTAGTGGGTCTGCATCACTGTATTTCAGTATGCCTCAGTTGACTTTTGTATTTGATCACTTATAGGGATATGCTTTGTATACTTATGTTTAGATGGTGTTCAGCTTATTTGGGATACATCATCTTCTGTGTTTGTAAGCATCACAGGTGCTGCTTTCAGTTTCTAGACTTAAATTTGTGCAGTGTCTATGGTTTTGTTCTCATTTTTAACCTTCATTATGGCATAACATGCAAAATGCACAAATCTGGTCCTTAAAATTGGTATTAGAAGTTGTATGGCTGTTAAAACTCAATGTCTAGGTCCCAGATTGCTGTTCAGGGTGTTGTGTTCCTGCAGTCACACCTGGAAAACATTGAAATAGATTGGGCTCTCTGTCTCTATTGAGATAGGGTTTCTCTATGTAGCTTTGAAGCCTGTTCAGGAACTCACTCTGTAGAGCAGGCTGGCTTCGAACTCAGAGATCTGAGTGCTGAGATTAAAGGAGTTCCCATTTGTGTTAGAAGCCCAAGACTAACTTTTTCCTTATGTTCTGTTAAGTTCCATTTATCATTGTCGAGATTAGGTGTGATATAAAAATGAAGGCAAAGTTGGACATAGATTGCATGAACTTGAGCCTCTGAGGATGAGAGTTGATCCAGTTTTATTTGTGCCCAATTTTCTCTGAATTAGGGACCCCCGAGACAGTGGAGTGAACTAATGCATGTATCAGTGGTGGAGGAGTTCATCACATCACAGGCTTATCCAAAATAATGGTGATGCTGGATCAGAAAACTCATTAGGTTATTTTATATTTACAGTGCTTACTATACCATTCCTCTCACCCTTCTTGCTAGCTCATGAGCTTCCACCCAAGTTTTCTGACCTGGATAGACTCCAATAAGAACAAACAGTACATTTACCCTTTTGAACCAACAAGTTTAGTTTGGGGAGAATTGAAAATAGATCTGATGACAAACACAAAAATATTAATATTAGCCCTTGGAGATCTGCATGTCTAATACCAGTGTTCCACTGTTTTGTGTCATATAGCACCAGTACAGTCTTAAGGATGAACAGACAAATGCTAGCCCTGTGTTTGTACATTCTAGTGACAAAGGCTCTAGTCAGTCATATGTACATCATTTGTGTTATAGGCTGAACCTATTAGAATAGCAAGTTTCAGCTCATAATACTGAAGCTAAAACCTTGCTAGATAAATAGAATGTGGCCTCCTCAGTCTCTTCCTCCATAGCTTGTCAGCACACTTTTCTGGCACCTTGACATACAAACTGAGTCAGACTGCAAACCCCAGGAGCTCAGCCATGTTTATGGCTTTTTTTTTTGAGGATTAAACCAGCTATGCAGTGAGAGATCTTGTACTCGTGTCCCCAGATGCTCTACTGGCACACCAAGCTCTGTCTTAGACTGTGGGGGTCAGTTAAACTGAAAGCTATCTCCCCCAGCCACTTGTCTCCCCCACCAGCTGCAGTACCGTCTCCCACCTGGTCCTCAGTGCATCAGATCCCCACCACTCCATTCAGACTTCTCTTTAGCAGTGGTCTTGTCAAATTCAGTTTCCTGTGTCATTTTTCCCAATCACTTCACCACGAATTGCCCCCAAGGTGCTTGGCCTCCATGCATTCTACTCTGATACTATCTTATCCCTTCCTGCCTGTCCTGGTTCTCCCCTCAATGGTGCCCCCACCCCGTTCTCCAGAGTAAACGAGGCTCTCCTTTCTCTCCAGACCTTTCACAGAAAGACGTTCCCGTCTGTCTGCACATGTCCGCACTCGGAATTGATCTCACTGCTCCTTGGCAGCTGGAATCCCAGCAGGCTCCTGGTGTAGGTGTTGTCTGCGCTCATGCTGACCCCTCTTGTCCGCCCTGTCAGTTATCACTGATTGGACCATGTTGTCATCCATACTTTGAGTAAGATCATTTCCGTAGTCTACAATGCGTGTATGGTCTCCAGGAATAAGTACTTTGTGCTTCGGTTTTGTGTAAGTGTAAATGTGCCCTTTGTAAACAGCCTCTTGTCATGTCACACTGGATAGACAGCACTTTACCCTTACTTAGAGATTGTTCTTAGTTTATACATCAATTAGCTCCTAGCAAAATACTTGGTCAGAAAAGACTCCCAACCAGTGAAGGCTAAAAGTATCCCAGAACTCCAGTGCCAAGCATACATTATTACTCAGTAAATACATGCACCAGTGATAACTGAGTATGCGGATAGACAGCAAGTGAATTTTCTCAGTAATATTAAGCTTTCTTCAGACTTCTTAGACAATTCCAAATCTCTCTCCTCCTGTTCTTTCTCCCAGCTATAAGAACTTTAGAAATGATTATAATGAACGTTCCTAACATTCTAACAACTATTTTGTGATCACTTATTTAAAATTGCATTCAGTGTACTAGTTGTAAAATAGTAAAGAACATGAATAATTTTTTAAAGTATATGAGTTGACTTATACTTAAATTTTCCTAAAATTGTGGTAACCAAGCAACTACCAGTACTAGGTTTAATGCAGCTAGAAACAAATAGTCATTAAGGACAAAAGACAATATTTATTCCACTCTCCCCCTCCCCCAAACTTTAAATAAGCAGTAAAGAACACTCCACTGATAGTGCGGAAGACCATGCTGCCTTAAAGGAAGGCATGGTAGAGAAGCACAGAGAAGTAGGACATGCGTAAGTGGTTACCAGGAACTAGCATCGTAGACGTGAGTTCCGGGGTTTCCAGGAAATCCACGTTGCTCCTTTGGAAGGTCTTGCTGTAATTCGTCTGGAGGTGGCTGTGAAATGATTGTAGGTTAAAGCTGTGCATTTTTGTTAAAAGCCTTCCCAAGTAGAGGACAGCAGAGACCAAATTCAACCAAGATGTCAAGATTTGGGGGTGATTTGAACTAAATGGTCAGATACATAAGCTCTTAATGCTTACTTAACTTTAATACAACCTGAAGAGTAATAATTATCAGAAATTTGGAAGAAAGGGCCATTTAAGATAAGCATACAAATTACACAACAACAGGAGGTAGGCTGAGTTCCAGGAGAAATGACAGAATTTTAATATTTGCATGCTTGAAGAATAGGCTATCGAAGAATAGGAACTGCAAATTTTCTAACAGAGAATACAATTCTCATTCTTAAAATAGCCAATGTGCTTGGATCTAAGTTGCCTTCCAGACTCTGCCTGAAATAATATTGTTGCCATTGTGTCTTCATTGTAGCACAAAGCGCTTCAATTATTTATTACTGGACAAGCACTCTGCCATTGAGCTGCCCACCAAGACTGCTTCTTGAAGCCACAAAAATAACAATTTGAGATGAAATATGAATCAATTCCATTTCCCAGCATTCTCTTTTGTTTCCATATTTATCACTCTAAAATACTGGTTATCAGAGAGCAATATTTTTTGTGCTACCTAAAACCATCAGGAACTATTTATGTGATAGAAGAACAAAAGTTCCTTCATCACATTTTAAAATTGTATATTTCTTCCCCCTCCCCAAATTTTAAATAAACAGTAAAGCAAGCTCCATTGACAGTGTGGTAATCATTTTTACTTTCAAAGTTGACCTGTAAGCTTTTCCAATGTCCTTTATTCTTATATTTGTAATCTTGTAATCTTTAAGGACATTTGAAAAGTTGTATTAGCCACTGTATAGTTTTAAATGTAAACAAAATCATGTCCACAGAACTCATATTTTATAAAATCTAATACCTACTCATCACTTCTTCCTGAGATACCCGTGACCCTGTCTAATTCTGCTTTACCAAGAGAATTAGTAAAATGCAAAAACTCAGAGTGGGATCATCATGCAAAGCTATGACATAAATTCCAAAGAGTGTAGAATTCAGTGGACTAGGGCAGGCACGTTTGAAGAGGAGGTAAATACCTGGCCTGAAACCCAGATGCTCATCAAGGCTAAAGCAAAAGTGTTTCAAATTCAAGGCCTGCCTGGGCCACAGAGTAAGTGCAAGATCATTCTGGACAACGTATCCACCCTGATTTCACAGCATAAACTTAAAAGGGAAACTGGAATGTACCAGTGACAGAGTGCTTGCCTCGCGTGCTCAGAGCCCTTGGGTTCAGTTGTTCAATCTACAGCACCACAAAAGTAAGTAAAAGCACAACTTTGTCAACAGTGTAAGTGTCTTCACATGCACCGCCACATCCACGTTTAACAACAGTCCGAAAGTGTCTTCATGTACATTGCCACACCCACATTTAATGAAACAAGTAATTTTTCCTTGCAACTTACCGGTTCCACACGCTGCTGTTCTCCCAGAACTCATAAATCATGTAGCGAGATTCATTTGCAAGCTTCTGTATAGAAATACTGAAATAGAAAAGGCATGATTGTGCTCTGGAAATTAAAGAAGCAAAAAGGATGGGTGGGAGAAATGGCCCGGGAAAAGCAAAAATGACAACGTGCACAGTCCTCAACAAGGAAGGTGGAGAGCAGCCGAGGAAGACTCCTAACAGCCTTGAGTTTCCACCTGTGTACTGTGCATACACATTGACACACATACCCATAACCACTCTAAGTGCACACACAGACAAAAGTGAACCAAGTTTTCTAATCTCTGTATGTAGCATGCAGCAATGTTACCTGTATGTACAGGAAACAAAGTAACTTAAGCCGGGCAGAGTATCAAGTGGATTTATCAATAACTGAGTAGCTCACTGCATCTATTTTGTTATATAATTTTTAGGTTAATATTATCTTTGCACACTTTTATTAAAGTTCTTAGCTTATTATTTGTGTTTTGCTTGTATGTATGTCTGTGTACACTTAAATGTCTTGTGCCATGGAGGCCAGAAAAGGGTATCGTGGTCTGCTGAAATGGGCTGCAGTTGTGAGTCAAACCTGGGTCCTCTGGAAGACCAGCCAGTGCTCTTAACCACTGAGTCGTCTCCCCAGTCCCCATTCACAAGTTTTATTAAGCATCTTTTATACCAAAATGTATTAAAAATTGTTTTAAAATGTCCTGCTCACAGCAGTGTGGAGCATAGTGGGGAACAGTTGTCTAAAACAGAGGGGAAAGTTGAACAATAACAGAGCAAATGAGGAAGAGCCAACCAACACTGAGACGGAACAGCGGGGCACGCTCACACTCGTGAAGCTCACAGTTTGTCCAAGAAAAGAAGGTGTGATACAGCTAAAAATTGAATTCTTAAAGAATATCTTTTTAGTCTAATGTTTCATAATATATTTAAATTAAGAAGCAAAATGAAGGATCAAAAATTAAGGATTTATCAGTGAAATATTTAGGTTTTATCTATTGGTGACCAGCAGGTGGCAGTAACTACACAAAGAAATTTTAATACATTTTTGTTTTAAAAGATCCTGCTCATAGCAGTGTGGAGCAAGAATAAAGGACACTTTGTTTATTTTTGTAACATGGTATTTTTCATAGGTTTTAAAGTATAGTTTGATTCATTAGGTGTGGTGTACTAATGTACTAGCTCAACTTAAGATTCTTCTGAGTAGGTATTAGCTGCATGATCATAATACAATAAGGGTCTTGTGTTTCCTACCCCAGAAATTCCTGGGTAAGCTCTGCGACTTTCTCCACAAACCCATTCATTCTTAAGGGTGTCTCAAGAGCGATTTTTGCAATATAATTGACAGTCACATTTCCTGGGCCCTTGACATTGGAAATATGAATATATCAATTTCTAGAGTTTTGTAGCTGAGAGTAAGTAGCCTCAGAGATAACTTAGTTCTATTTAAAAATGTAGAATTTTGGAACAAGGATATGATTGGAATTGCTTTCTACCTTTATGAGTAAGGATCCTATTTACAAAGTAAGATCACAAAATCATCGAAGGCAGAAGCTATTTCCTGTCTGGTGTCAAGGCTGATTCTACGAGCACACTGTGTATGATGATTCTCTCACAGGAACCGGGCATTCATAAAGGCAGAGAAAGTGAGCTGCATATAATATATCATGATATATCCACTCACATGAACGATCTACTTGAGTTTTTCTCCAAATTAAATATACAAAGTGTGTGTGTGTGTGTGTGTGTGTGTGTGTGTGTGTGTGTGTGTGTGAAGTGTGCACACCAGGTTGGGTATATGGAGGTCAGGGATAAGCAGTAGAAGCCAGTTCTCTCAAAGATCAAACTCAGATCATTGGGCCTGGTGGCAAGCACTGTTAGCTCCTCAGACATCTTGTCAGCCCTCCGCAAACAAAGTGCAAATGCAACTTTTTGCAATGGTGCAAAGTCTTTGAACACCATTGACAGAATTCTATAACCAAACCTCTGTCAGTCCTCAAACTTCCAAATGTCTCAGGGAATACTCAGAGCAAAAGTTCTAATTCAGTTCCACCCCTACTTAGCCACAAAAAGTTCAGGAAATTCAACTGTAATTAAGTCCAGACAAGGAAGATTAAACATGGACAAGTTTTTAACACACCGGAGTCTGCTTTTGTTCTAAGCTGGATGTAATATATGCCTGCAGCAATTCCCATGAAAACTAAATAAGAAAATGGATGAAAGTTGTTAGTCTTGTAAGATATCACCCATGGCAGCACTCTGTGTCTTGCATGGGGAGGCTAGCTAAGCATCATGGGAAACAAATCTAAAACTTTGATAATTCATAGCTTCATCAGCCAGCACTAGGCAGCTGTGGAAGGTACCCAGGATCACAGCGACTGAGTGAGTGGCATTGGATGATTTGTCAACAAGGAGAGAGCCAGGGCTGATTAACACATCTGAAACATTGAATTTAGACCGGGGATGTCTCTTGCAGAGGGTGTTCCACCTGTGTGGTCATTTTCTGATGCTCCTTACATCTGGTAAGATCTACATTCTGACAATTCCTGCCCTGGAAATGAGCTGCAGAAACAGACCAGTGCTGCAGAGGATAAGGCAAGACTGGGAGTTTCCTCCAGCAAACGGTCCTCTCCTCACCTCTGCTCCCACTGGGGACCGTTCTTCATGATTCTGCATGGTTTGCAGCATCACACTTATTGCCTCTCTGACCTGCCCACAGCATGGCCCTCCTCTCTGGGGCTATTCTGGTGCCCAGAGTGGTTTCAGAAATTTAAAAACTTTTGTGCCCTTTTAAGAAATATAAAACATCTAACAAATCCCCGGGAGTTCGGCACAGACTTTTCTTCTTTCTGTCCTTGCTATTTCTAAAAGTTTACTGAGTTCAGTGTCCTGCAGTTGCATGGGTTTCTTTTGTGTTTTCTGAGTAGTTTTATTTTTAAATGAGTGGGCTTTTAGAAACTACATACGTCCCTGCCTCGGAAAATCTCTAATTCTTCCAAGGGTGAAACTGCTTTAATCTGTGCTCTTCTGATCCTGATATGAAGTAGAACGGTAGCCATGGAAGTGCAACATTTCCTAGTGTCTCTTACAAAGGCTGCGCTGGGAGGTGAGGAGCTGCTGAGATACTCATACTGCAGAGATGCCAGGTCAGCCAAGAAGAAGGAACTGGTGAGTCTAGCTCAGGTTTCAGGGTCTTCAGTTCACACATAAACATTCCATGAGATTGTGTGCGTGTGCGTGTGAGAAAGAGAGAGAGGAGAGAGGGAGAGGGAGAGGGAGAGGGAGAGGGAGAGAGAGAGAGAGAGAGAGAGAGAGAGAGAGAGAGACTAGGGATTGAACCCAGGACCTTATACATGCTGGGCAATTGTTCTACTTCTGAAGGACATCCTTAATACTTTTCTGTGTTTGGCACAAGGTCTCACTACAGTTGCCAGGTTGAACGTAAACTCGTTTTGTCACCTAGGAATCCCTGAACTAGTTATCTTCCTACCTCAAAGTCACTGGGATCTCAGGCCTGTGTGAGAAGGGCTGTCTCCATGAGTTCTTGATGGTGAAAAGTGAGGTTTATAGCCAATGAGAATCCCTAAGACACAAAGCTATGCACTCCTAGCTCTAACCCAAGTTTAATCCTGGTTTACATCAAAGACCTGAAAGGTAGGCTCGAACATAAATAAAAATGAATTAACCACCAGACAGAAGAGCAAAACAAAGACTCATACATGCACATGCTTACGCACACTTACACACACACACACCCCACAGACACCCATCTGCTAAAGCTCTTTCCCTGAATGTTGAAAGAGCATTAGGGTATGCAGTAAAACAAGCTCACAGGTAGATGAACATGGCTGTGGACGTTTTCTGAACGCAGGTAAGTTTGTCTGTGCTGTGAACTTCTGGGCTGGCATGAGAGACTGCCTGGGTATGTATTTATGGTCAGGTCTGAGGCACGGTAAGAAGGAACAGACAGTACTCCTTGTAGATGGCTGTGCCTATAGGTTTCTGGGTCTGAAGCCTGCATACTCAAAGTCTCGGCTCATGCCCAGCATTTGACAGTATGCTCCTGGAGAGGCACCAGAGTCCTTGGATGTTTGGAATCCTGCCAGTTCATGAACAACTGTTCTAGTACTGGCTTATTGTATGGGTTGTTCTGAAAACTACAGATGAGGTATAGCATGTTTTATGAGTCTTTACATAGTGGAGAGGAGGCCATGGAATTTAGGGAGAAAAGAGAGGCTGCCACTGCTTTTAGGAAACAATCAAGGTCTGAAATCTTCATTTTGGAGAGCCCTGCTATTCTCACAATAGTGGAAATGGTCATTAGTCCACAGGGTAATTGAGGTAAGACATCCACGAGTGGGAGTCTTGTCTACACAGATGATTTTTATTGGGTCCTGGCTGCCTGTGTGCAAAAGGGGAAATTGCAATCTATTTGAAAACCTTCTTATTCTGATGACTCTCCACCTTGTTTCTCTATATTCCTAACGATTAAATCAACTCCGGTTCAGAGATCAAACAGAAAATATCCCTGCTAAATTCTGCAAACGCCATACCCCAGAGGGGTGGACAACTCTGCAGAACTGAACATGAGGATCTGGAGATGCCTGTGCTCTGGCACCCCCTGCGCCCTCACCTAAACGCCCACGTTCACCATCTGTGTTGAGCTGGTGGGGGCTGGTCCGCAAGCACTTACCGCAGGCACCCGCTTTGGGCTGAGGCGCTCTCCACGTAGTGTTTCAGAGCGAGCTGGAACTCTTCCAGATCGTCTTCTGACACCGACATCTGGCGCTGCACAAGCATGATGTGCTGTGGAAGCATGGGAACGTGCCGTCACACACACGACTGCCAGCCAGAAACCGGCCGGGAAAAGCACATCATGCGAGTAACCCAAAAGCCCAAAAATTTATAGCAGCAGAAGCTAAAGAAAGTGCCCTCTGCACCGAGACGTTTCCTCTTTAAAATTAAGCAAGAGATGCAGTTAGAATCATGGAGGAGCTTTCCACAGAAAGTCTCAGCTGGGCGGAGGTGGCTGACCCAGGCACCGGCACCTTAAAAACTTCCCGAAGTGCCTCTGATGTGCCGCTGAGTCATGGCAACCACCCTAGAAATACCAAGATTTAAAGAGAAGTTCTATCGGAATCTGCATCGCTTCAGTTTCTTGGCTATTTTCTGATATCAGACAATCATTATAATCAAGCTTGCTTTTAAAAACATGGGCTTACTGATGCATTTCCAATACTCTGGTGATCAAAGGGCGATCATGGATCACCCATTTGCAACATGTGCTATTCAGAATGCCCTAACCCCTTGTGATGTTCCATACTGCCAATTTGGACAGATCTAGAATCATCTAAGGGACAAATCTCTGGGTATAGTCTGTGAGGGAGGTTCTATTATTGGGCTAGTTTAGCTGGTAAGATTCAGCTTAACTGGGGTGCTCCATCCCCTGAGCTGGGGTTCTGGACTGAGTAAGGAGAGTGCAAGCTGGGCACCAGCCTTCATCTGTGTTTGCTTCCAGACTGTGGACATAATAGAACCAGCTGCCTCCTGTTAACTTCTGTCATGATGGAGTGTACCCTCAAAACATTAAGGCCAAATAAATAGTAAGGCCTTCTTTAAGTTGCTTTTGTACAATATTTTGCCATAGCAACAAGAAAAGTTGCTACTACACCCTGATTTAGTGGCTCACAGTGGGTTGGCTACTAACTGCTTTTCCTAAAAAATATTATTACAATTATAACAATTGTCATTTCTACTCCCCAGAGAATTGCCTAGAGATCTGCCTGTGTAGTCTCAATATTAAGCCTATCTTCTTCTGCAAGGATTGAGGGAAAACTTTAAAAGTATGAAAATGAGGCTCATAAAAATGCACTCACAGGGATTGTATGGAATACAAACAAAACTTGCCCAGGAGTGCTTGCCAGGTAGCACAGAGGCTACAATTAACCCCTGAGCTTCTGTTCCCTGTGCTGCCCAGTTTCTCGGTGCTTGTTAAATAGCTCTTACTGTCAAACACCGATTGCATTACAGGAACCACGAGAGGCACTAAGCACATGCAGCTGTGGTGCTTTGGATAAGCATTGCCCCTGTAGGCTCATGTGGAGTCGCCAAGGGAGTGGCACTATTTGAGAGGAATAGGATTAGGAAGTCTGTCTCTGTTGAAGTAGGTGTGACTTTGTTGGTAGAAGTGTGTCACTGGTGGTAGGCTTTGAAGGTTCAAAGGCCCAAGTCAGACCCAGTCTGTCTCACACTCCCGTCCTCTCTCCCTCTCTACCCTGCCTCTCTCTGCCTGCAGATGAGGATATAGATTTCACTGCTCCAATGCCATTTGTGCCACCACGCATGTGCCCGGGCTCATTGTCATAATAGACTAGGACTCTAAAACGGTAAGCAAGCCCCCTCCCCCATTAAGTGCTTTCCTTTATAAAAGTTGGCTCAGTCATAATGTCTATTCTTAGCAGTAGACCAGTGACCAGGATGCCAATAAATGCCTTTTTATTTTGTCACAGTAAATACCACATGCAGGGGTCTGGGCAGTGATAGACAAAGACAGATCTCTAGGGCTGGGGATTGATTACAATGGCAGAACACCTGCCTACCATGCATGAATCTTAGCTCAATTCCTAGTAATACATGCACGCACAACACACAGATTCTTTGTTTTCAAAGGGCTTAGCAAAATAATAAGGCTAAAATCTGTGTCCAGGCAATGATTATGAACTTGACTCTATGTAAGCTGATCATAAGGATCAGTTTTCTGAGGAAACAGTATTGCATTGCCACATATATAAAATTCTTCAGCTGTCAGAACCATGTTTGTGTCCACATGTACACACGAGCACTCAGTGGGCTATGAATAGTGTATGATCTTCCCCCACGCCCCAGAAGGAGACACTCTTCAGTTGGCTTTTACAGATGATCACAGAGGTTAATGGACCAGGAAAAAAATTTTCACAAAAACAATTGGGTGGCAAGGCTCTTCCAAGAATTGAGACCCAGTGTCTAATCATAGAATTTCCTAGCTGAAAAATGTCTCTCAGCTTGAATTCATTGTTGCAATCAAGCAGTGAGGGCTGCGTGTTTCTCATCTACTCACCCCATTTATGCCTTACAGCCTAGCTTGATCACCGTGTTCTCTTTCCCTCTCTTTGTGTGTCTATCAGTTTATCTAAAATTCATGTTTTTCAGACCTCCAGAGACCAAATCCTAACAAGTAGAATTTAGTAATATCTATAGATCCCAGATTTTGAGCTAAAGCAGTCATTATGGAGAGTTTTGGGTGGTCCCTTGTAGAGGGGTCTGTGTGTGTTCTACAGGGGGTTCCTGCGGGGATTAAATAGATGGTCAGACCTCACAATGTTCATTACTCACTTTCCCAGGTACACTTGGGACTCTCTTCCATTGCATTTAGGCACAATCTCTTCATCTTTTTTTTAAACCAAAATATTCAAGCAGGAGTTCTAGATAACACATTTGAGCCTAAAGTTATGAAGGATGAGCCATCACATCTTTCTGTTTACTTCCTTTCTGTTGGTAGGAGAAAGCCTATCTTGGGAATGAGAGAGATTCAAAAAGAGAGGACGATGGGCCCCCCTGAATCACTGTGTGGGCTTTTTACTGGAAAAAAAAATAACATTTAAAAATTGTATTGGAAGCATTCTATAAATTTGACCCATTTATTTCCATAAACAGCTACCTCAAGTTCAACAATCCAATTGATTCTTGCTTTATTTCCTCTCAGGGTCAGAGACCAAGAATCAGATGATGCAAACCTGGGACGAGCTCCCAAGGCTCTGTGTGATCAATCAGGTCTTCGCGGGATTCTCTCAGGGACTTGGTGCAGTACTGAAAGCCAAACAGAACTGATTTCCTACAGCATGACGACAGCCATGTCCTCTCACAGATATCTGCGAGGAGTTTCTCAGGGGAGATCTTAGGCCTAGATGTGAACCCTAGACTGCCATGTACCTGTTTCTCTATAATTCTCTGTTTGAAAGCAATCGTTACATGATTCAGGAGGATGAATACTGAAAATGGCCAGAGGCCTTCACGACCCCACAAGTGACAGGTCTCTTGGAATTTACCTTTTCTGTTCTGCTGTGGGATGATGGTCTGTATCCTGTCAATTATATTTTAAATAAATGCTGATTGGCTAGTAGCCAGGCAGGAAGTATAGGTGGAACAACTAGGCAGGAAGTAAAGGCGGGGCAACAAGAACAGGAGAATTCTGGGAAGAGGAAAGCTTATTGGGCTGTCCTGTCCCAGCTAGAGAAGAAGCAAGATGTGACTGCCTCACTGAATAAGGTACTGAGCCACTTATAACACAGATAAGAATAATGGGCTAATATAAGTTATAAGAGTTAATAAGATGCCTGAGCTAATGGGCCAATCAGTTTATAACTTATGTAGACCTCTGTGTGATTTCTTTAAGACTTAATGATTGCAAGAACCGGGCAGGACAGAAACTCCGACAACACAGTTCCTCCTACAAAGTCCCCATTTCTGTTTCCCTCACTTGGGACCTGGGTTAGATTTCTAACCAGCTTCGAATTTCTGAATGCTGCAGAAGGGACCGTGTGTATTTCCAATAAGGGCCTGAGGGACTGTTAGTCCTCACCCCCAACCCCACTCAGGTCCCCGAGATTGTCATGTGAACAAGACCTGATGGAGCAGGGTCAACAACGGGTTTCTGTAAACAGACAGCAGATAGTTCAGGCTTTGTGTGTTACTTGGTTCCTGCAGCAATTCCTCAGCACTGTTATTGAGTGACCCCAGGCACTGCATAAACAAATGGGGAGTACCCTTTTTCAATACAACTTTATGCAAAAAAATAGGTGATAGAGTGTGAATTAATCCCACCAAGAGCAATTCTGAGCTTCTAATATGTATGACAGGCTTGGCCAACACCAGCAAAGCTGATTCAGAGCTGGGCATACACACCTAGAGGGATCCACCGGAGGGTCACAGGAGCCACGCCAGGGATCCACCGGAGGGTCACAGGAGCCACATCACTGATCCCCATCTAATTTTCCTACCCATAAAGTTGTGGCTATTTTTCCCAAGTCCCTGAAGTTTGGGGTTGGGTTGCTAAGCAGCAAACTAGTGCAGCATGCATGCTTACTTAGACTGTATCCAGAATAAATATCTACTATTGCCTTGTTCTATTTATTACATGTTCTGCTTAGTACAATTGTATCCTGTGTATGACCTCAGGAGCAAGGTTTCTTTTCTTGTACATTGTAACTAAATCTTTATTTCCACCTTCCTTTTGTCCTTCTACTGAAAATAGATTTCTTTAAAATCACCCAATATATCCTGATTATATATCCCATCCCTACCTATACTCCTTCCAGTTGCACCCTACCTCCTTCCCTATCTGTATCTACTCGCTTCCTGTCTCTCCTTAGAAAACAAACAGGCTTCTAAGAGAGAATAATAAAATATAATAACATAAAACATAATAAGGTGAAACAAAAACTATTACATAGGAACTGGAAAAGGCAAACAAAGAAGGAAAAAAAAAAACACCCAAAGGAAGGCACAAGAATCAGACCCACTCATTCCCTCACTCAGGAATCCTATAAAAAACATTAAACTGGAAGCCATAATATAAGCTCAGAGGACCTGGTGCAGACCCGTGCAGGCCCTGTGCTTGCTGCCTCCATCTCTGTAAGTCCAGATGGGCTTGGTTCAAGTTGATATAGAGGACCTTGCTTCCTTGGTGTCTTCCATCTCTCTCTGGCTCTTACACGCCCTTCTTTGTGGTTTTGTCTTAATTATTCTGGATGCATTCCCTGTTCCCCTATATTAGATCACGTCCCCCTGTGAAAATGTATATTTGTCTACAATATTCTTTATCACATTTTATTACTGATTCTAGTTTAACTTGGTTTCCTTCTCATCTGTTTTCTGTTAAATAGTAATCACAAACTTATCTCTGGATCATTTCATCAGCTAATACATGGATGGTCCTTCATGTTTTTATTTTTGGTGAGATTAAAATGAAAGATGCTTTTTCTTTTATCAAGTGACTATTAGTGCATTTCCTTTAACACATTCCGTGTATTTATCAGTCGCGCGTTTGAAGCACCCTGTGAGCTCTGCAGTACTGGAAAGTTGGGGTGTTTTCTTCTATCTGCTTCTTCCACTTCCTCTCTTGTTCCTTCTCCGTTGTCAAGAGCGAGGAGCATACATGCAGATGAATTGGCTTCACTCTTTCCGGCTCTGAGGCCTTAAACAAGGTACTTCTTTTTTAATTAAGTTTGGACACATAAAACTGAAATAGTGATCCTTGTATCACAAAATTGAGGGTGACTACAGTCTTATTGTCATGTGGAATTCTCAGTGCTTGTAAGAAAACTCCAAGGAAACAGGACAAGAGTCTTGTGACCTCAGTTTCTTCAAAACAGACTGTTCTTGGAATGTGCTTCCCTGCACATTTCCCAGGTGAGGCAAAGAGGAGTGAGTTTTTTTTTTCAGGTGTTGTTATTCACACAGCTCTGCCGGGAAATGTTTTTGCCCTATGGCTTGTCCTTGTCCTTGGCATTGTACACTTTACTCTTGTGACTTTTACTGACCTTCAGAGTATAAATTTCTTGAATAAAGTTGATTCTCTGAAAGAAGTTGGATATTACCTGAGACTTCAGTCTGCTCAGTTTTAGGCCTTGCTGAGACCCCCAGGGTCACGCTGACAACTAAAGTGGAAAATATCTTATAAAAATCCTGTCTGTCGCCATCTTACTTCCCTTACTTTGGACTGATGGAGGAAGTGGATTTTAGGAAAATAAATCATATCTGGGGTTCATCATGATGTAATGGTTCAGTGCTCAGAAAGTTGTTAGATGCAATAATGTCTAGATTTGCTATGTTTTTAATAAGTCCACAACGATGCTAGCAACAAGCAGCTCTCTGCAGTGCTGAGAACCCACAAGACACTGCGTTGATAGCGTCATCAGAAAGTTGAGTGTAAGTGTAAGGTCAGCATTGGAGTCCGGCTGTAAACTTAAAGTTCTCTGCACCTTATTTTCTTCTTTTATGAAATGGGGCTAAGGCTACTACACCTCCATTTGACTATCTTGAAGACTAATGACTTCATCTCTTAGTATTTAAGCTAAATGCTAGCAATATAGTGATAGACAGGACTATCTATCCTGTTTCAGCTTAGGCCTTTACAAAACCCAGCCTAGTGGTCTTCACTAAAGCCTTTAAGATAACAACTGAATGGCGTCTTTCTCTGCCCGTCATGAGGCAATAACTCATCGTCTCATAAGTGTATGAAGAATTCACTTTGCACCTTGTGGATGGCAAGTTCATTCACACAAGTGCCTAGTGGGAAGCATTAGGTCCTCACAAATCCATGTTAGCCAAGCAAAATGAGTATAAGTGTTTTAAACAAAGAACAAAATAATTAGACAATTGATGAAATTGTGATTTTTTTTTCTGAAAATCTCTTTATATACTGTGTTCCTGGACTTATTAACTAACAACTCATATGAGGGACTTATCTTGTTTTTTGCATGCCATGAAATTTTTATTGCTATTGAAAGTAAGAAATAATACATATGATAACAAATGCCATGGTAAATCTAAATAAGATAAGTCCATTCATTACTTACATGTTTGACTTATCATTGGGCATTCAGAGTGTGCATCTATGACATTTTCATATGGAAATCACTCACCGGTTTAGTGCTCTCCTCAATAACTTCTTCTTCCAGGGGTTCAAGTTTCAGATCCTTCAGTCAGAGAAAGTAAAGGCAGAGAAAAAGAAAAAGATGCCAAGTTACATAACTAGTCAACATATCCTGCTTCACACAACAGGATAGACGGCTGTGAGCTTCTAGGAATCCTCTGGTCTCTACCTCCCATGTGTCTCCCCAGAGAAGCACAAGGTTGTAGATGGGTGCCATTGCACCCGGCTTTTCCATGGTTCTGGGTATTTGAACTGAGGTTCTCCTGCTTGCATGGCAAACATTTCATACTTGGAGCCATCTCCCCAGCCCTGAAGGTGTTTTGTACAAACTCACTATAGCATGGTTATAACTTCAGTACAACCCCTCCCCTCATTACTACTCATGGAGACTGGAAAGAACAGAACCCGAAAAACTCATTGGAATTCTGAATGTTCTTAACCACCAACCTCCTGAACGGAGTCATGTTTAGTTTACTGTCTAGGAAGGATTATCATAAATATTCAATAGTCAAAAAAAACAATCTATGTTCTGCCTCAAGTATACTTTCTTTCAACAGGGTGATCAAATCTGATAATAATGCCCATAGGGAACAAGGGAGTCAGCAGGGAAACGACATGCACCGAGCCACTGCTTGGCCATTGTGTCGTTTTCCTCTGGAAACCTAATTCAGCACGACACAGAATATGCCAGACAAGAAAACCTTAGCCCACACTGCTGCACGCTTATCAGACAGCTCATGCTGAGCACCTCGCAGCTGGAGCCCAGGCTGAACGCCATCAGCTGTGCTTTCGGCAGGCCTCTCTGATGCTGCTTTCACAGTAAAACCATTTCATAGGAAGGGAGGGAGACAAAAGTCCAGAGAGAAAGGGATGTGACAATACTTTGATTTAAAACAGGTTAGAGAGATGTTACTAAAGTTTAAGCCATTCCAGAAAAAGAAAAAAAAAACTGTACGCATTTTATACACCAAGAGGAGACATTTTCCCTGGGAATGTCACAATCCCTTCACAAAGAGATATTTTGTTCTTTATAAGAATCTAAATCTATTTATCACAGGAACCCTTATGTTTCCATTTGGGTTTTCTCTTCAAAACAGGGTCTCAGATTCCCCCGCCTTTCAACATCAGAAAGCTAGTTTTTATAGACACTGTTTTTCCTTTAGTTCCAGCTGAAATTCAGGTCTCAGGGAATGAAAGAGGGAAAGTTAATTTGCAACAATCTTACAGTTCATGAGTGTGCTCCAGGAGGAGCAGACTTCAAAGAAGATGCCCTGGCTACAGGGCTGGAGCTATCCCGGGTTGCTTCCCTCCGACTTGGCTCTGCTGGCACAGCAGGAGTCTGCCTTCGGCATCCTTGCCCACCTTCAGGCCTCCAGGCTTCACGTAGGTCGGGAGAAGTGTAAGACCCGGCTTGCCAGTCTGACCTCATTTCTGACATTTAAAGGGGTACCTTTGCCTATTGTACCCTGAAATTGATGAACCTTGAAAACCTTTTTTTTCCACTGCACCTCAAAGTAGGCTACCACTTGTCTCTCCCACTTCTCTGAGACAGTAGCTATGGACTCTGATAGGCTGAAATCCTCAGCCTGTTTGTGGGTTCTTAGCATACTCATCTGGTGGTGCTGTTAGTTCTACTTCTAATCTCGGGAGCCTTTTCATTTCCACTCACTTAGGATGGACCCATCTTTTGGCTCTGGTACACCAACCTTGGGCTCTGGTACACAAACTGGAAATTGATACTATCATTGGAGCTGACTTCTTCAGCTCTCAGCCTAGTATTTTCTTATTTTAATCTATTTTGATCTTGATTTAATGTAATTTGTATCGTACCACCTGATTTTCTACCAAAACATTTTATGCTTTTAATTGCCTGCTTAGAAAAATAATAAACGTGTATGATTGTTCTTAGAACCAAGTCCAAATTCCTTAGTCTGTTATAAAGGGCCTTGTGATCAGGCAGCAATTCACCAAGTAAGCTTAGTCCTTGGTGTTTTCCTAAATGAAAGATGAAGCCACTCCACTTCCAGACCTTCACTCTCCTCTCCAATCAACTTCTTTTTGTTTTCTAAAGCTTTACTTCTTCAGTGTGTTCACTGGTCAGCATTGACTCCAACTTTCACGCCAACAGGTTTCCTTTTCCATGAATTGTGCTTCTTGTTGTACTGCGATGATCTCAGACTGTTAGATGGGTCCCCCACTCTATGAAGCTAGCATGTGATGATTTGAGACTATTAGACGGTCCCCCATTCTCTCTAAGAATCTAGCATGCGATAGTCTCAGACTGTTAGATGGGTCCCCCACTCTAAAAATCTAGCATGCGATAGTCTGAGACCCTTAGATGGTCCCCTACTCTATGATGCTAGCATGTGATGGACTCAGACTGTTAGACGGTTCCCCTACTCTACGATGCTAGCATGCGACCCTCACAACACCCCTCCTGTCTTCCCGCCTGGGAACAGAATGATTAATAGCACATAAATAGACTGGAAATGGTTCGAACTCGTTAATTCTCGTGCACATAGCCCAAGAGACGACGGCTCGTGCTAGCTAGATATCTGGAGTGAATGTATCTCCCGAGTTCCTGAATTCATGTTTTAGAAGAAATATCTGTTGATTTCATGAGCGTTGCCATACCCTTCCAGAAATTTCTCAGTTTTATTAAATTAGCAAGATGATTTCTATTGCTTGTAATCAAATTCTTAATTGAGTTGGCATCAGTTTTAATATGACTTACACACTTTCTGAATGTGAAATGTTTCCAAGTACCCAGCTCATGGAGACCATTCCTTCAGGGAAATGTCTGCATAGTCCAACCTTTGGGCACATGTCCGGACCTAATGAGCATCAGCTATGAGTCCAGGTCTGACTGCCAATCATTTAAACAACAAACAACCCCTCCCCTACCCCTCTTTGTTTATTTGTACAATTATACATGAGTTCTCAGGTTTTCTGTCAGGAAAAAATATTCATTCTTATTGTCCAGAAGTCACAGAAAACAAACTTTCTTACTGATTGACAAAGGTCACCTTTACCATCAAAGCTGTATAAGCATAATGCCAGTATATTGTTAGGACACTTGAGACAAGCTGAATCGCTTCTAAAAGATATGGCAATTAAGAACATATAATGTAGCTCCAAAAAAGTCTTCTTCATATTCCTTCTTGTCCACTTACTAGGCAGGTTTAACACTACAATTATCAGTTAATATGTCAATTTCTAGAAGTTGAGCATAGGATAACCCTTTATCCTAATTAAACTGGAAGATTCAGAAGACCTCACTTGTATCTCTCTGTGAGATGCCATTAGCCTCATTCAAGCACACACTATGAGTCCCTTTCATTCTCAGCCATGGAGCTTATTTTAAATGTAACTCTGAGCTTTCATATATGCATTAATAAACAACAAGCAATCAGAAAACAAGCCCTTGTAGCTACCCACCTGCCATTCAGAGAGCCACTTGGATGTTGAACATTATTCTGTTCACGGGGCAGCCATGGATGGACATCCAGGCAGTGAGGAAGCTGAGGCAGAAGGCCTTGCAAAGAAGGAGGGAGAGAAAAGAAAAGGGAGTACTTACCTTCTTTTCCAGTCTATCAATTAATTTCTGGAGTCTGTTTATCTGGGTCATCCACTGGCTGTCTTCTTCTAATAATGCTTGGGAGGAAACCACAGAGACAGAATGTTAGATTTTTAACAAGGCAGAATGCTCGGATATCTCTCCTTCCACCCTGAAAGTAGAATCCAGTGTCCCTGGCTTTTAAACAGATTCCTAAAAATGTTTCTAAGTATTGGATTCACAGAGATGTCTGCGCCACTGACTTTTTTTCCACAAGCCTGTTTTCTTCTCCTTCTCCTTCTCAATATTATTTTCTGTACTGGCCTATGAAGCTCAAGAGAACAGATTCTGCTGAGCCAGTTTTTCTTTCCTATAAGATAGTTTTCTTTTGAAAAAGGAAAGCACTGATTCTTAGCTCACATATGAGGCAGGGGCCGGGATGGATAAAACCAGATCCTCGGTCTGGAGCTGCGATAGGGACGAGTGTAAGATAAGGTAGCTGCTGTTGCCTTTCCCGGGGACCAACTTGGGACTATGAACTCCTTAGTCATGGCTGAGAGGTACAGCATGCAAACTGGAGCCTGCTGCGCTGTATCTACACATATGAAATATACTCACGGATGTATGTGGATGTAATAGATACTCCATAGGGATACATGTGTAAATGTGTGCAGTTATGCACACACATATTGAGTATTTATCTGCATATCTGGTACCATGTAATTTGTACATCAGCACAAATGCCTTGTGTTGTTTTAGCTCCGTGGAGGCTGACTTTAAAAGAAGGACTGCCCTCCCTCATTTGAGGCCCAAGCATGTTTGTTTTCAAGTGTCCTCCAAGACCCCTTATCTAGGGATGAGCTCACTCTCTAACTCTACAGCAGGGAGGGGGTAGACCAGCAGAACAACTCAAGAGTCAACACATTAGGCCCCCTAGAGGAGGGAGCAGGTAAACTATTTGCAACAAGTGTTACAAATGTTACTACTGTTTTCCCATGAAATAAGAGTATCCATAGTCGGGGGGAGAAGCCAGATTTCAGACCCAGGGAGCTTATCCATGAAGAGAAAGCACAACTGTAAACTCCATTTGACTGCCACAGCTTCCCAATTTGATGACACCTTCTTTAGGTGTTGCTATTTATTCCTTTATTTGGATGCCTTGGCAAAGGGGGGAGGGTACTCTTCTGGGACTAGCCATGAAGAACTCCAGCTGACTGCCTTGGCAGGGCTTCCTCAGTAAGTTTCTTGGGGAGGTCTTCAGAGCTTGTTTGGATACCATCCTCCCTCCCCTCCCTCCCCTCCTTCCTTCTCCTCCTCCTCCTCCTTCTCCTCCTCCTCCTCCTCCTCCTCCTCCTCTCTCTCTCTCTCTGTCTCTCTCTCTCTGTCTCTCTCTCTCTGTCTCTCTCTCTCTCTCTCTCTCTCTCTCTCCCTCCCTCCCCTTTGGCTTGTTATCTAACCGATAAGCACACTCATTCAAAATCTAAACTGTGGCTGTGATAGATCATTCTCGGACTGTACAGAAACCATCACCTTAAACACCACATGAGCGTGACTGGTGTTATTATGGAACAGTTGCTATGGAAAGGTGGAAGAGAGGGTCTGAGACCTGGAATGATCATTCTAAACTTTTAGTGTTCTGACGACAACTCACTTAAAATAACTTGCAAGTGCTTGTTGAAGTTATATTAGTTAATTTTTCTTGAAATAAGGCCATAATTGAATGCACAACTATAAATCTTGCTTTACCGTAGAACAAAAGGGAATCAAGATCTCAACTGTAAAGAGGAGCTGTTCCTGTACAGGAACAGCACAGTAAACATGTTCATCTTTAGGACTGCAAAAAACAAAGCATAGTGATTTGTATCAAAATGTACTTCTGTAACCCGTCTTTTGGAGGAAGAAATGTAACAGCAAATTATAAAGTCAACACAAACATTAACACTGCAGCAAATAAGTGCTATGGGAAATGAGTGTTCAAAGAAAATGCTTTAAATGTAGAAAACAATATTCATTTTTAATGTCATATTTATAAACTGGGTTGTTCTCTACAAGGATTTTAGAAAAATCAAAGTCCTTGGGAACTGTAGTTTTGATTATGTCTTCCCATCAAAGTACTAGCCAGGCCTCCTTGTACTTCACTTTTAAGGTTAAGTCTGATGGATACACTCAGGGTAGCATGACCATAACTGAATATTTTCTATATTTCCCTCCAAATTGCATCACATTTATATTTTATTTATTATATGTGCACATGCATATGTTTGTGCATGTGTGTGCATGCACACATTCCAAGGCATCTGTGTAACACTCAGCTGACAGCCTGTGGGAATTGGCTCAGTCAAGGGTCTGATTTTTCTACTGTGTGGGTTCTGGGGGTCGAGTTTGGGTTGCCAGGCTTGGCAGCAAGTTCCTTTACTTGTGGAGTTATCCCCTTGGCTCTGTGTTTTCTAAATGGTTAAAACGGAAATCTATGCTTGACCTTGGGAACCCACAGTGCTGTTTTTCAGCCATGAGAGCAGTTTGTACTTTGCTTGCTGATTCCTTGCTCTTGCTTCGGCATAGTTCTCTTGGAAGCCCCAGGGCAGCAGCAGACGACTTTGTATGCCTCTCGCTATAGTGAGGGGCACAATTTCTTCCTCCCAGACTGGTAGGCTTGACATGTGATTTATTTGGCAAATGAAAGTTAGGTGGTAAGAATAACATTATAGTTTCATTCTATTTATATGATTTTGGCCTGGCTGCTTATGCTTCTGACACTTTAACAGGAGGCAAAAATGTTCTGGCTGTCATTTATTCTGGAGGAAGCTACCAGGAGCAGTGAACGCATTCGATAGCCCAAAGCCACATCTGGCTGACACTGTCCAAACCTCCACCAACCACAAACAATGATTTGTAGTTGTAATTATAGAAATTTTGGGTTTCCTTGAAACGGACCAGTAGTTCAGATGATCTTACACAAATTATTTCATATTCTGAGTGAGCTGGAATAATGGGGAAACTTGTGTCCACTGTGTACGAATTTCCTGGGTGAATTCCTGTGTAGCCCTAGCTGTCCTGGAACTAGCTTTTGTAGACCAAGCTGGTCTCGAACTCACAGAGCTCCACCTGCCTCTGCCTCTCGAGTGCTGGGATTAAAGGTGTGAGCCACCACTGCCTGGCACAGGCTGCTATTTTTAAATCCTCCACGTGATGAAGCAGAGCATTGAAGTCTGCCTTACCTGGACTGCTGACATTGAACTGTGGGCTGTTGGGGGAGAAGCTGTTGTGCCTCTGGACTCGGCGGCTAGATCGCTTCCCGGGCCACTGGATAGACAGAACCTCTGGTTTGGTGGGGCCTTGCCTGGAACAAGAGCCAACATGGAACTTTCTGGTCAGACCTCTGGTATGTTGCTTCTAGGATCAGATGTGAATGTCTCAGCCACCAGGGGCTTCTGGGGTATTTAGTGGAGACGCAGGGGAAATAATGCGTACAAACATGCTCTGGAGAGTTGATCTGATTGTTACTACTCTGTACAGATGCAAGGGTGGAATGTTTCAGACTTTCATTATTCTCAAAATTAAGACCAAGTAAAATTTAATTTGTAACCTAATCCTTCTTTCCATCTTTGGCCAAGTCTTTAATAGAAACAAAATTCATGTGTGTGATGTGTTGCGTTTTGCTTAATTTGAGAACAACTATGGAGTTTTCTTTGCTTAATGTCTTTAATTTTTGTCCCAATCTACCAAAATTTCATATATTTTAAAAGTCCAAGTAATCCTACAATTCTTACTTCAATAACCTGAAGTTCCCCCTCCCATGCCCAATCTGCCACTGTTCCCTCTTCTCAGACTGGTGGGAGCCATGAGATTTCTTTCGGGAACAAGGCCCAAGAATAGCATGAATGGCTTTCCTTGTGGCAAGGCTTTGGAGACCCTGACTCACGTGGCAAAGACCTATGGACAGTTCACTGTGTAATTCCGGGCATGACCCCGGGAGCATGTGTGCCATGTGGTTTCCCTATGCCAGCCATACCGCCGACCTGTATGAGTCACAGTAGGCCATGACGTTTAACATTACATGCTGACATAACTGTTCTGAAAAGAAGGATTTTAACCCCAAGAGTCTTGGAAGAATGCTAATAAATAGAGATATCAAGAGTTAATGAGAACAGCCTAGAGACAAGGAATGAAGGAGAATTATAGAAATCACGGTTCCCTCATCTCTAATAATGGTACCAACACCTTAAGAAGAGAGAAGGACATGAGAACAACTATTAAGAGTAAGTTTCCAAGTTATGTTGCCTATAGAGTAAAAAGGATAAACTTGGTACATCTCCAGAGGAGACAGTAATACAGAATGGAGAATAGATTGATCCAGCTTTGACTGGTGAGTTGATTGTGAGAACCCAGGCCCTACCAGATATAAGTATTAACCACTAGAGACAAGACTCTCTCTCATCCTTCATGATGCTGTGACCATAAATGCTGCCCACAGGGCTCCCTGAGCTACCTGTAGGTGTGCTAGTTAGAAAGCTTTCTTTGTAGCGTGCAAGGCTGCTGATGCGTTTAACAGTAGAGACAGAGACCAAAGAGGTGATGGCTACCGGTGGGAAAGCTGGGGGATGGAAGAGGGAAAAGTAAAAACAAGCTGGTAATTATTATGATCATGTTTAGAAACTTAGGAAGAACTGATTGTAAAATTGTTCATGCAAACCATCGAAACTGCAGAAATAAAAATAGCCCATGCTATCCGGAGCCACTTGTTTGAGCAACAGGTGGTCACAATTTCCTTCTTGTGCTGGATTCCCACATCCTTCCCAGCTCCCTGAACAGATCTGGAGCTAGGGTTCGAACAGCAGACATTTCTGACCAAGTGCTCCTTGTGTTCTTTACCGTCCTAGCAGAGCTCGGCACACTGAAATCACTGTGTCTGTGAGTGTGTAAAGATGCACACTGTGTCTGCATCTTTACGCTTTCCTACTGACTGCCCAGCGGGACACGCTCGAGCTAGAGACAAAGAAATGGGAAGGATGTCAGAAACTTCCAGGCAAGAAGCTTAATTAGAATGGTGGATTTAGCAAAAGGCAAGTTTGTTTTTCTGGCTTCTTGGCTGGCACACAGAACATGATAGCTGGAATTTTCCACTGTCTTCAGCTGTGGCTAACTTGAGAAAGGGAGACAGGTGCTTCAGAGGCGAGAAAGACTCATCAGAGTCTAGAGAACTGCGCCGGCCATAGGCTGGCCATGGACGTCTCTAGCTAGAGAAGTTCATTAAGCATCTGAGCCACTGCCTGTGTTTTCCACTACAGGCCGTCAACTACAGCACTCATTCGCCTCCTGAGAATCAGGCTTCCACGATCTCTCACCAGCAAAGACTCCTTTAGCTTTTATCCTGAGTTACTGGGTTCCAAAAGTGTTGCTTCCTTTGTTTGGTGATCAATATGCCCCAAATTATTTCCTAAAGTGGATTGCTCACACATTTCTGTGTGAAACACTTCCCATGGCATTAGTTTTTATGACACGGAGGCTTTAAGGCAACCGGTCATCTTAAAGCGAGCATCATCCCCATACTCTGGCTAACTGCAGCTCCCTCCCTCCCTCCTCTCCTCCAGATCAATCCTTCAGTCTCATTTACAGTTCCATAGCAGAGGCCTGCTGTAGTCTCCCTTCTGTTTCTGCCCCCATCACTGGTGGCTCACATGGGATCTACTCCTCCTGATGGCTTTAGCGCCATCAGGCCCTCCCTGGGGA